TTTTACCTCCTTTAGAAGATGAGACTTAGTAAGCTAGTTAGCTCTGAGACCTTTTCTATCAAGACCTTTTACTCTAATAAATATTTTTGAACCTAAAGTTCTTACTCTGCAATCCTGAGCCATCCTAAGGAATAGAAGCCTTCCCTTGCTCACCACCTGTAAGTTTCTGCTGGTTATGGAATTTACTCCTGATATTCTGCTATATTTTGGTGGAATTGCCCCCAAATGAGGTTTATTTTGAGCCTAACAGCTCAGATTCCCCAACGTATCGAGACACCCACAAAAATGAAGGGTGCTCTCATTCCTTGGGGTTCAAATGTAATGTTTGAGGGGCCCAAACAACTTTTGGACTCAGTACTAGGCTGGCCACCGATCTCTAGTATGTGTGGTTAGGTTTGGAGTATTTCAGGGAAAAGAAGCACTATTCAAATGTTTAAAGAAGGGTAGTGCTTTTTGAGGGGAAAGTTTCAACACAATCTGGCAGGAAAAGAATTTTAACAGTTGCTCTGGACTATACTTGTCATCATGTTACCATAAATTATAAACTATCTGTCCCAGGTAAGTAGACCATCCCAATGAAGCAATATAATCTAGTCATTTGGTGCTTTTATAATCATGATTGCTTCTAGTGTTATCTGCCTGAACACAAGCTGACAAGATGGTTCAGTGTTTCATGTTAATTAAAGTTTAATAGTTTTGGGGAAAGCTGAGGTTCCAGATTAGAAACCAAGATGCTACATAAGAAATGGATGAACTTTGATGTACTCGCATTTTTTCTTATGGCATATTTGAACAATGATGCAAGTTACAGTGTTTTTCCCTACATTAACCTAAAGAGCTACAGTAGCATGTGTTTGGATCAGTTTGTGATTTGTAATTATCCATCATTCAGGGACTGTTAAGTAATACCCCACTCCTGCAGATTTGTGTGACTGGAAGGGCATGAAGAGGGTTGAATTCAGTTAGGGACACCCACATGGGTAAGTGTCCCTTATGATAGAGGGTGGGTGGGTGATATTTCCTTTATCCCTGTGCCCAAAACTTCCCTACTGCGAAGCCCTAATGCTGAATTGTATGCCCATTTTGTGCTTCATAGGAAGGAGACCGCATTAGAGAAAAGTCTGGCCAGACACAATGTTGACCTCAGTGCTGAGATCTATTGGGGTTTTCTGGAGATCTCAAGAGTTCTGTTATCTTTGAGCATATGGGCAAGAGGAGGTAGTGAGATGCTTCTACTCTTGCCATGAGGCATGGAATGGTCCTAGAAATCAGTCAAGAGAGTAATGTAGGATTATACTGAGATATTAGTCTGAGCCCAGGTTTGCTTAGGCTATTTGCCACGAGCCCCTTTAAAAAGGATGTACCCTTGGCTGTATCTTGGATGTGTACTGCCCAAGACTGGATGGGACTGGGGAGTGAAAGCTCACAAGAGCACTATAGAGGTGAATCATCCAAAATCTTCTGCTCTGCCAAGAATCATAGAGCAACTTTATGCTGCTCTCCTGTGCCATTTCTGACAATGGCACCCAACCAGGTACTCTGACATTTTAATGTAACTAATGTGCATACATTTTTCATGGAGCTTTCCTTTGAAGGCAAGCTGAACTTGTTCTGCACACCCCTATTGTATTATCAACAACTGCTCCAAAACTGAGGCAAATGCAGAAAGAACAATGACAGATTTGAGCATGTGTTTAAAAGAGCAATAGTCTATTGTTTGGATTTCTCTCTCTCAAAGATAACTATTGATATGAGATACAAAAACAGAATACAATGCAGCTAATTTAGCATCAGATACCTTTCACTTGAACCTATAGACAGAAATTATTTTCCCCATCCTACATTTTAATCTGCTTCAAAGTAAAAAAAAAATGTATTCCCCCTGAAGATTGATGGAAATTATATTTTTCAGAAGACATCTATTGGCACACCAAAGGATTAGCCACAAATGCATGCTAGCTCTCATTATAGCGTCTCCTGGGGTTGCTTTTGATTTACTGTGGAAATTAAAGCTCTAAACCATATTGAGACTCAAGGTATCAGAAATTAACACAATCCCAATCTATGTTATCATATAGAGTTTGATACAGAATTCCACCCTCTCTTCAGAATATACTAAGGGAAACATGTAGATTATTTCTGCTGCTTTTGTTCTGTATGTGTTTGCAAAAAAAGTGCTGTAGGAACTGGCATTTTGAAACTGATGCATGAATCTCCCTAGAGCTGTCTCCCGGGAGACTTACAGGAATGATTGAAGAGAACATGAAGGGAAGATAAACTGGGTTTTTGGGGGGAAGAAACTGCATCACTTTGGCGACAATAGATTCTGAACAGTAGGTCAAAAGAAGGGGCAGGGGAGGGAGAATCTGAAACATAAGAAGGATACTAAGCCCCAAATTGGAGCAATGGATGGGAAAAGATTGATGTAACCATAGCTGTTTGTACAGGATCTGTAGCTAGCTTCTGATGTGACAAATGCTTTTGTGTTTATTTCATATATTTATATAATTGCTCTCTGCCAGCACATTCAAAGTGTGTCCTAATTTAAAATAATGGCTCATAATCTAACGAGATGCAATACAAAAGAAGGAAAGGGGGTGCATATAAGAATGAAAGGGGAAAACAAAACAAATCCGAGTACTACCTTTTACCTAATGAACAAGGTAAATAGCCACTGTTCCAGAAAATGTGATTCCGAATAACAACTTATCCTAGCCAATATGATGCAAAGGGTTTCTTTGTCTCACCTCTCCTTCTGAAACAATCAGATGGTTTGCTGCAGAAAGAGACAGCTCTGTGCAAACATAAAACTCCCCCCAGCACTGGAGAAAGTGGATCAGCACCCATTTGTGTCATGCTCTGAATGGACACTGAAACCTCTTTGCAACTTTGGACTGTGGGAACTTTATGCCATGAATGTGATCTTTCCTCTATTTGACAATTTATTATTTATTTATTTACTGCACTTATATTTCACCCTTATAATTCACCCTTTTCAGGGCGGCCTTACAAAGGCAACAATTTGATGCTGCATGTACACATATCATCGATAAATAAACAAAAATATTAAAAACCAACCAGTTAAAACATAACATTAGAACAACAATTAAAATTGTATAATCCAGGTCATATTTCAGGGCCAGTTTGAGTCGTCAATGTTAATTTATGGATTTTAAGCCTGCTGTCTTTCTGATCCAGCTGTTAGTTTCTTATGTGTAGCATTTGATTATGGATAGTTGCAACTATCAACATACCCATAAGCAAATGTTACACATAAAATAATAACAATCTGGATCAGGATTTATGGACAGGCATTGGCCTCATCCCACTCCAATGCTGCTGAGATTTCTGTTTTCCTGCTCATGTTACCAACTAGAAACAACAATCTAGATTAGGGTTGCTAAACAGTGATCACAGCCATTTGCCTACCAAAGTTATCCTATATCAGAGGGTTGTGTATGTGTTTGTGTACATGTTCTATTGGGCATGTACATATTTGGGTATGCATGTACACATATGTGACCCTAGCACACTTTATCCAAGGCCATAAAGACTGTTCTTCTGTTAATTTCTTCTTCATAAAGTAATCTTGTAATTGACTACAAGCATCTCAAATTTGGATATTGCTGCCAACTATGGGCAGAGGAAGCTCAGGCATAGGCAGTACCATAATTAAATGAGGAGGGTAAGTTGATTCCTCCCCGTCCATTATTTGACTTTCAAATTATTTGGCTTTCAAATTCCTGGAGTACTTTTCATTGCCATCACCATCCATCAAAATATTGTAAGCATCCTGCCTATGCTTATTTCAAAGCTTTAGCTTTGCCAAAATCAATAAGACTTACTTTGAGGGAAAATAGATATGAGAAAGAATTCTTCTTGTAAAATGTATAATTTCTCTTTCAGAAGTCTAACTTGATTTGCAGAATAAAGTTCCCTTTAAGGACAGCCCCCCTTTGTACCGTTTTCTGTCCTACCCCCAATATTCCTTTTTGATATTAGTTCTGGCACAAGCACATCCCTGCATTTTTCTATTGTGTTCACATTTTTTATTCTTGATTTTGAGTCACTGTTATTCTCCAGAGGAAATGCCACATTAGCAAAGTGTATCACATTAAGATTTCTTGTCTTAGAGAGTATCCTACTCTTATAGCTTTGGGAAATGGAAATGTTGCAATGCGTTATTAATATACTGTATATACTTGAGTATAAGCTGAGTTTTCAAGCCCTTTTTTAAGCTGAAAAAGCCCCCCCCCCCGGCTTATACTCGAGTCAAAGTTATTTATTATTTTACTCTGTTATTATTATGATTACATTTATTATTTTACTCTAATTATTATTATATTTACTATTTTACTCTAATACTGTTATTCTTACATTTATTATTTTACTCTTATTATTATTATTATTATTACATTTACTATTTTACTCTATTTTTATTATTACATTTACATTATTGTATATTATTATTATTACATTTATTATTCTGCTCTAATTGGAAGGATATGTAAGCACATTTACATTGAAGAAGGTTAGAATAATGAGTTGGGCAGTCTTATCTTAAATCAAGGTTTTATGTAAATATTCAAAAACATTTAACTACTGATGTCTCAATTAATGAAATTTTTATTGGTATCTATTTTTATTTTGAAATTTACCAGTAGTTGCTACATTTTCCACCCTTGGCCTATACTTGAGTCCATATGTTTTCCCAGTTTTGTTGTGGTAAAATGAGGTGCCTCGGCTTATATTTGGGTCAGTTTATACTCGAGTATACACAGTACCATAAGAATCTACTTCTATTTTCAAGAAGGGGCAACCTAGCTGGGGAATTATCTGTGCTTTCATTTGAAGCTTCAGCACTGAACTGGGACTGCAGGGAAAAAATGCAATGTGGAACAGAGAGGCTGTGTATCTTCACTCCTTAATCTCTGCCAAATTCTGGTTTCACATTCTAGTCTTAAAAACATGGTATACCCATAATAGGGTTATAATCTTACCTGCTGATGTGTGCTTGAACTTCTCGCTCTTCTTCTTTCTCCATTTCCAGGGCTTGAAAATTCGTCCTAGAGTGGCAAACTTACTTCTCCTTCGAATCGGAGGGGTGTGCGTCCCGGGAACCAGCGAGTCCGAACGCATTGCAGCCAGTCTCTCCACTTCTTCAGCTAAGTTTTCAAGAATGGAAGAAGGAGAAGGAGGGGAGGGGTGCAGAAAAGAGTATGTCAGTAAGCAAATGGGCAGAGTGACAGAGCAAAAAGTTGTGTTATTAAGCCAAGCTCTCACTGTGCTGATAAAGGTTAAGTATTAATAGTAACACTTGCCCTCTATATAATACCTGGCAAGGAACAGTTCACTGATAATCAAGTAAGGTGATCCCACACTTCCGAAAGAGATTTTCACCCAGGGATTATGTAAGCATGGGAAGTACTTTGAGGTCTTCTGTTTACAGAATAATGAAAAGACATATAAGCAACCATAAAGAATAAAGGAGGAAAGGAAAAGGAAGAATTGGAGAGGGAAGTCCAATTATAAAGACATATACAATTGCTGAAAGAAGACAAATGATAATTTGTAAGGAAAACTAGCAAAGGGGAGAGAGCATGATGGAAGTCTTTGCTCATTATCAGGAGAGGGGGTTAGGTTTGTAGCTTGCCAAGCAAAGGGAAGCTTCCCCCTACTAAGGCACTCAAAGGGCTTTCCTCATCCCCAAATCTGCAGGATGGTGAACTGATTTTAGGGTTTGGTCTAAACTTTAAATGTTCTTTCCAAGTGTGTAATCCCTAAACAAGGATCAGCACCTCGGAGAGCTCCCTTAAAAGTCAGATTTCTTGACACACTTTACATACAACACAATTGCTTCCTGTATATTGTAGAATTAATGCAATCTGACACCACTTTAACTGACATTACTCAATGCTGTGGAATATAGGGAGATGCATATTGGCGAGGCACCAGAATTCTTTGGAAGAAAAGACTAAAAACCTTGTTAAATGACGACTTCTGTAGTTCTATTGAATTGAGTAACATCCATTAAAATGGCATCAAAGTGCATTAATTTAACTGTATAGATGCACCCTAAGTAATGACAAGCCCACTCCCCATTTACCAAACCCATGCAATTGAGGTAAATTTGCAGGTCTAAGAGAACAACTTCTAGGAAGGGTTCAGCTGTTGGCATCTCTGTTTGCAACTTATCAATTACTGAGGCTGGTATTTATTTGTTTACTTACTATATTTCTACCCTGCTCTATCTCACCCCGAAGGGGACTCAGAACAGCTTCCAGATCTAGCAATAATTCAATGCCACATTACAATACAAAATATACAAATTCAAACCACAATAAGCATTAAAATAAAATTGGTTTATTTATTGTGTCAGAAGCGAATAGAGGGTAAAGTTATAATGTATTTAAAAACACAAACAAATTTAAACTTTGCATTATACTAAATGTCATTTGACCAGAAGCTGGCCACTTGGGGTGCCTCTGGTGTTGCTGTGAGAAGGTCCTCCATTGGGCATGTAGCAGGGCTCAGACTGCATTGTACTAAGTGGTCGGTGGCTTTTTGTTCTCCACACTCATGTCATGGACTCCACTTTGTAGCCCCATTTCTTAAGTTTAGCTCTGCATCTTGTGGTGCCAGAGTACGACTGGGCGCCCAGTCTTCTGGGTGCCCAGTCGGGAGTCTCTCTAAGCTTGGATGATCATTGTGGGATTAGTTGCTATGTTTTAACAGTTTTTAATTGTATTTATATTTTTATTTGATTTTAATTACTCCTGATTAAAATAAAATATAAATATAAATGCAATTAAAAACTGTTTAAACATAGCATCTTATCCCACAATCGTCATCCAAGCTGCTTTGTTTATGTCAATTTCGTAGATGTATATTGCACTGTGGTTATGCTACTCCCCAAATGCCTGATTCCACAGCCAAGACTTGACTTTCTTTATGAAAGCCAGGAGGGAGGAGGCTGATTTAATATTGCTGAGGAGGGAGTTCCAGAGCCAAGGGGCCATCACTGAGAAGGCCCTGTCCCTCATCTTTATCAGTATCGCCTGTGAAGGAGGTGGGATTGAGAGCAGGGCGTCCCAAACTGGGTCATAGAGGGAGATATGTTTGGACAGGTAAGCTGGGCCAGAACTGTTTAGGGCTTTATAGGCTAAAGCCAGCACTTTGAATTGTGCTTGGCAGCAAACTAGCACCAGTGGAGCTGACGTAACAGTGGAGTTTTGATCAGATGCAAAAGAGATTGAGTTTCTGCATCTTTCAGTAGATTATAAGAGAGGTTTTAGCACTGTATCTTTCATGACAAACAATAACTGGCTACAATTTCCCCTTCTACACAAATATTACAGACACTCTGCCCACTTTTAGTTCTGTCCACCCTGCTCCTACTCTCTTTCTAACATTCTCTCTGCAAAATTACAATGCCACAAATAAATAGTTGTATTTATTTGAACCACCACTAAAGCACAAAACCTCAAGCATGTAAATTACAGGAAAATGCGGCTCATGCCCTTAGAATAGCTTTGCAACCTCATCGAACTAACTTGCAAAGGTTATAAAATTCACTAAAACCACAATAATCTCTTGTTTTCTGTTCCCCCTTGCATGAAATTTATTTTTCTCCCTACATAAATGTTTCTTTAGCTCGCACTGAAATCTGAAGGGCACAGTTCTTGTGCAATCTCTCATTTGGAGCTAACCATAGGGCATATGGTTTTTCATCACGGTGCTTGGCAGTAAAGGCTGAACAGGCTGGAAATGGTTGTTTAGGCTGTGTTCAATTGTACTTAACCAAAGACACACAAAATCCCCAAAGGGACAAATATCTATCCAATTATTTGGAGACCTTGAAAACATTTGGGCATACAGATTTTTGAAATGTAAAAAGGTTGAGCAACAGGATTACCTGCAGTGTTGAAACTTGTCTCAAAAACATAAGATATTTGGTTGATCGGCCCAGACAAAGATGTGTCCAGGAAGAGAATATTCTGTGATAAACAGTTGAATTAATATCTTGAGAGATTTAGCTGCACGGAGGCAAGAAGTGTGGGGAAAACTCGCCTTAGGTTCTTTAGTATAATGCCCACTCTTTACTCCTATACTCAACAAAAATAAAAACATTTAAAACCATGTTGAACTCTCCACTACAGAGATGGGAGCCATTTCTCCCTCAACTTGGTTTGCATTTCATCTCCCATGAGCAAACATGCTCACTGACAAAGGATTATGGGAGTTGGGATAATCTGAAAAACTGAAGAATCCTCACTTAGATTTTTTTGTCAACCTCAAATTTGGTTTTTTGTTTATTATTTGGGGTGCTGATTCAGAAAATTGCATTGGATAGACCGCATCAGCTCTAGTTTCTGATACAGAATATATGCCATGCAGTAGTCGCAATTTGCTCGCCCACAGAAAACTATATTAATAATCTAGGGCTGATGTGATAGTGGTAATCTTTTGTGGGTAGTCAGCCTCTCCCCTCTTAACATCCCTGTTGCCTCAGCACTATAAGAGGGTTTTGCAAGACCAGCTGCTCTCGTTGCCATGTGGCTTCCAGGCAATAATGTAGTAATGATGAGACAGCGGACCATATTTTCATTCTTGCGGACCACTGGTGGTCCACGGACCACAGGTTGGGAACCACGGCTCTACAGCAATAGAGGCTGATTCTAGATGTAGTCAAACAAAGGGCATTGAAAGCAACAGATCTCAATAAGTCTCTTTGAAGGATGGTGACATCTTTAACCAATTCCACATAATTAAAAGAAAGCTCAATTTTATTTAAAGAATTACCACTTAAGGGCCATTGTGTATTAAACAAACCATGTCCTTAACCTGATTTTTTCCCAGTGTCATGCTGAAGAAAAGCAATTGTTGAGGAAACACGGGCCAATAGCTGGGTTGAACTACTTTACAGGGCCAGAAAAAGGGCAGGAGATACAACAACATCTTTCTAAGCCATCTGGGAACTGTGCTCGAAGGGCTGGCTTTCGGGCTGACTTCAATAATAAAACCTATCACTGACAAACATTAAAGCAGCCAGCGCATCATAGCCACATACCACCTGCTACCCCTCATTCGTGCTCAATTCCTGAATGGGTTGCAATTACTGTTGCAAAAACATACTTTGTATCACAGTTACTAAGTGTACTTTCAGTCACTTAAAAAACTTACATTAATTATTTGGTGACTGCTGAGGCAATGGTATTCTCCCTGATGGCAGGGTTGATGTGTTTTGTAAAACTCCTTTGAATAACCCACACCATGTAGCTTCAAAAGACAACGCTTTCAATGTTTTCATCTAAGTAAGAATCACCTGCCTAAGCAGAAAGCTGCAAAAAAGACCTACTCATAGAAACAGTGAAGAATTTCTGGTAGCAATGTGTCCCAGAACATTCATATTATTGAGGTTAAAATGCAAGCACAGTAAGCACAGTGGGGGATATTTATGAATAACAGCAAACAAGGTTGCACTTTTATCAGGCTTCCTCTAGAGCAAAGAGTTTCATAATTCATTATGACAATCTAGGATGACCACTTACAGATGGCAAATAACCATTAAACCATTACTACTGTTTTCTGCCTTCCTTTTCACTCAAAATCACCTCTAACCCTTTCCTTTTGCTGAAAATTTCCTTCTCTTGCATAAGTCATATTGTGCCAGGAAGAAGGACGGTGCCACACTTTCCCAAATTAAGTATCAGAATCAGAATACACAACAATATGCTAGTACCAATAACAGCATTTATAAATAAGTAGCTGTACCTGCCACACGTTGCTGTGGCCAACCTTCACTCCCTCTTTCTCTCCTTCTTTCTTTCCTTCTCTCCTTCCTCCCCCCCCCCCGCTTTCCTTCCTTCCTTTTTTCTTTCATTCTCTCCTTCCTTCCTTCCTTCCTTCCTTCCTTCCTTCCTTCCTTCCTTCCTTCCTTCCTTCTCTTCCTCTTCCTCTTCCTCTTCCCTTCCTCCCCTCCTTTTCTTTCCCTTCTCCTTTCTCCCCTTTCTTCCTTCTCTACCTATTCTTGCACTGTAATCCCCAGCAGTCCTCCTGATCAATCTACCTACCTACCTATCTATCTATCTCTATCTAATCTATCTATCTCTTAACTGGAGGATTGCTGGGAGTTGCAGTCCAGGAATAGGAAATTGGAAATTGG